GTTTTTTTTTTTAAAAAATATATATAAAACAAAAATAAAAAGTGTATATATATATATATATATATATATATATATATATATATATATATATATATATATATAAAGGTGCTCTATGTCCTCTGTGTGCTGATTTGTTAGAAAAACAAACAAACAACCAAAGCAAAGTTTATCCCAATTTTAGTTAATTCACTGATTTAATGTATTTTGGTCATGAACTCTGTGATTCTGACATATGAAGTTAGAAAGTCAGAGTAGTTTTACTCCATCTCCAAGAACCAGAGATTATATATATATATATATATATATATATAATTAGAAGGGAAATCCTTTTAATGCACCTTACTGAAATATTTTATACAGATTTCTTACTGAGTTCATTCTGTGCCTTTTATTAAATATAGTCAGGGTCTATCCCACACTCAATAAGTACACCCGCTTGCTTTAAGACAATGAAGGTAGTGTGTTCACAAAGTGCAAGAAACAGTAGTAGTGATAAAGCATTGTTTTGCACAGATTTCCTTATATGCTTTATTTGCTTCAGGGTACAGTATGGAGGAGTCAGGAGTTGGGGCAGCGGGCGGAGGGTTTTAGGGGGAGGTGGGCGGTGAGATAGCATGTTTACAATGGTACCCCTATGTGCAACTACTTTAGCTATAAGTATTATGTCTTGTCTCTATTCTGTAATCTGACAACCTACTGCTGCATGTGAATAAAGACATTTTTAGCCTGCTGCATTCAGCGAGAAAACCCCCCAACAAACTGGTGGCCCTGGGTTGAATGGTGTGTCTGGAATAAAGAAGAAAATAAAAAAAAGATATGGAAAATACAACATGAATGAAATCAAACCTTGCAAAGTTAATAAATAAATATTAAGAAAAATGCTCCACATTTGAACACTGATGTGTTTTATAGCTGCATTTTATGGTCCCCAGATATTCATTGGACACAGTCTTGACTGAAAGGGGGGCTGAATGCTTTTTGAACGTTCTCGCCACACCACCGTACACAATTGTGAACTTGAAGAATAAAATTAACAAAAAAAGGTTTACTTTATAGATTGTTGATTGCCCCTCTTTACTATAAAATCTGAAATAAAATATCATGCAACCATGTTCTCAGAAGTCACCTAATTAGAATCAACCTGTTATGTGAAGGCCTCAGAGGTTTGTGAGAGAACATTGATGAGTGAACAGTACCACGAGTATACGGGAATTTGAAGCATTTTCCACAGTTTTGATGATTTCACTGTCTATAATCCAATATTGCAGCACAACCACAAAGCCTAGAAGGACATAAACATCAACCTACGCTGACAGATCAGAGCTGTATCTGTCAGGGTCCTGGGTTGTTTAGTTGTTTCGGGGTTTGTTTATAATGTTTTTTATTTCTTATTTTGAGTAGATCAGCCTTGTTTTTATGTCACTTTAGTTGACATAAAAAGTGATTCTAGTTTATTATGTTTATTTATTCCCTGTGTCTACTCATATAGTACTCTTAGATCCTTTTTCGTACTTCCAGTTGTGTACTCTCCCTCGACCCCTGTCCCATTTTCTGTGTTCCCTCAGACATGCAATTTGTTACTCAGTTAGTCTGGAAAC